ATATATTTTACATATTTAACATCTTAGTCCCGAGGCAAATAAATACCAGGGTATTAATTACCATCTTCCTTACTCAGCATCACCTCTATTAGCAGATCAGATATGGAAAAGTACTAGAAACCTGAAGCAAGTTTTAAATCAAACTTCCATCTCTACTATTAGCCTTTTGAACATCTCTAAATGGAGATAAGTAAGTAGTCAAGAAATAGGCTCCCATCCTTGCAAATGTCTGGGGAAACTCCATCAACTCCAATAGTTACACGCTGGATACACACCTGATTGTATTCCTCCTTCTGCTGAACCCTGTCCTGAAAGAGGATCCACTCAGATGCAACATTTTTTATTTTACTGAAAAAAAAAAAAGTAGTGCTGAAAATAAAGTCAAATCAACAGAACTTGCAGACACTCTGCAAATCTATATCTTTTTTTCAGCAGTGTTGATTTTCAGCAGAACTTTTCCACTGAATTTAAAAGTGACATTTTAGACTACTACATCTTTAATTAAGATTTTCATATAAATGTTTAAGATGTGAAGCACAAATTAGAAGAATCTACTTTAAAAACCCTGTAAGTCAAATGAGTGTTTGAAAACTAAGCATGAATTAATAATCTGCTTCAAGACATCTGTTTTCCTTTAAAATGTGCTTTCTTAAGACTATTATTCATTAATATGAGATCAGGATCACATAAATACTGTCTGACTTTACTGACAAATTTAAGTCTATATCCAGATGTACCTAAATTAACCATCCAACTAATGCCATTACAGAACATTGTATGAATCTGGAACAACAGAGCTTCAGGGAAATAACTGTCACACAAAGGCGATGGAGCAGATCTAATTCAGTACTTTAGCACTGGTCATAAAAGGGAAACAACAAAGTCCCATGCAGCGCTGCATGGATGTTCTGTCTGAGTAGAGGGGGCTTTATTCCCGAAACCTTCTACTCTCTTGTATCACTGCACAGCAAGGTACCCTTGACCATCAGTAGCGCAGCCTCCAGGAGTAAACCTGCCCCGGAGTACTGACATATTCCAGATCCCTGAGTTCCCATTCATTTTTTTACACAGCCATATCTGCTGCATGCCAAGATTAGATCTTACCATTTTGAATATGAAGGCTATTTCCATGTCACCATAAAGTCTGAAATGGAAGTTCACAGTACTTTTCACCCACCAGGAAAAAGAGGATTTATCTCTATTGGCAGGTGCTCAGCAAAGCAATTGTAAAATTTTAGTTCGTTCAGAATCTCAAACTCCCTTCGACCATTTCACCATTCATTAAATGCCTGTGTCTTTGCTGCACACACATACCTGCAAACCAAAGCAGCAAAGGCAGGCATAGAAATAACCTAACTCCACTTGCAGAAGAGGCTGACAGTATTCTTCTCTCTGTATCTGAACCCTAGAAACAGTTAGGACTACAGCAGTCCTTGAGTCAAGCCATATGTAAAGACAAGTCTCTTGCAAAGAGTTTTTGTATTCAAGAAACAACTGTTTCTTAAGCAAAGGACTAATAAATCCACTGCAAAAGTTACAGGTGCCCTCCTTCCCCTCCCTCCCAGGACATCTTATACATATAAATACACACTTGTACATCTGACATAAAAGCATTTGCAGACGAACAGCAAGAGAAGGTGAGGTAATTCAGCTGTAAGCTGTACCTGGATTCCAAATATTCCTGGTTTGCTCCACAGTTATACCAGATACTACATTTACATACTAAAGAACACATTTCAACTTCCATGGCTTTTACACAAACACACACACAATTCCATGCTCAACTAGGCCAGTGAAGGCACTGCCCATTTTAATTTATTTCTGCCCCAATCAACATGGGACTTTAAAAGATAATCTCTGATAGAAATTCAATTTATGTCTCCTTCTGCATGTCTAAGCAGATCTGTAATCAGTGTAATCACATTGCCACACTTCACATGTGTGGAGTAAGGGTCCCAAATGCTGTTTTCCCTGCTGCAAAATCAGCCTTAAAATCTTACCAAAACAAACTTAAATGTGCATCAGCCTAAGAAAAGAATAAAACTGACCCAACATGCTCCTGGGGGAAATCCTGGCTGTTCTCTCTCTATAGTGCTTCCTTTTTTTCTTTCTTTTTTTCTTTTCATAAATTAAATATTTTATTCTTTTAGAGCTCAATCTTATTTAAGATGAGAAGGGAAAGCTAATGAAGAAAGCCTTCTGATTCCAAAAGTTCCAAAAGTTGCCCAGGGCTGAAATACAGCTAATGTGTACCGATATTTAAAAGAGTAAATGTAACAAGAGAAATAACTCTTGGCTAAGAGTCTGATGTAAAAATTGGGCAAAGTAATATAAGTAATTAAAGAATAAGTAAGGAAATATTTGTTTAGAAAGAGTTAAAAGAGGATAATAATAATACCAAACAAAACAGGGTTAAAGAAACTAGATTTACTAGTTTGGACATGAATTATAACAGTTCAGTCTATACAGGTAAAAGTGACGATGATGACGATGAGTGTTTAGCCTTCTATAAAGCATTTCATCAGGTGCTTCATGACATTTTCATCAAGAGACTTGAATGATACATGATCATTATGACACTCGTTAGAAGAGCACAAAGCTGGTTAGCAGCTGTACCTCCAAATGGAGCTACAGACAGTAAATCAGTGGCGAGCAAGAACATTTCTATAGGAGTCCTATAAGACTTAGACATTGGTCCTGTGCTGTATCAATGACCTGAAAAAAAAAAGTGTTAAATTTGTAATTATTAAGGTTTACAGAGGACATAAAAATTTGAGGAATGCAAAATAATAAAGAACACATTTCTGAGCTGGACAGTGAGATAAGATGGTAGGAAGGAAAAATGAACCTCAGACAGAAAAAAAAATGCAAATTTTATTTACAAAAGTAGAACTCTGACCTCTAAAGAATTAAAAAAAATAAAATAGTTGGGAGACATGACAAATACCCACCAAATAGATTCTTCAACTGCAATACTGCAGCCAAACAGGTTAAATGCCCTTACATTATAAATATAACCACAATCTAGTACTAATCATCTTATCTCCATGCTTTCCACTGACATAACTGCCCCTGACATGCGGCAGCTGGTTCTGGTGCCTAGTTATTGAATGGTGCTGGAAACTTCATAATCTTCACAGGAGACATCCAGGAACAAATAAAATATTTTTAAAAGGGAGACTTCAAGGGGAGGTGATCCATGTAGGATGTCCAAGAGAAAGCTGTGGTCTCATGTTTATGACAGAGAAACTTCTGTGGTAACAGCCCTTTCAACAGAGCAGTCAGATGAAACATAGTTTCATGCTGGAAAGTGAAGCTAGACAAACATTAGCCATAAATACTTGGTTTTAAGCACTGAGAGTAATATTGCAATAAATTGCAGTTTGCAACAAATTCTGCACCGAAAAAGTCTTCATTAGATGGATTTTCAAAAAGCTGCAGCCTTGTTCGTACACAGTTTAATTAACTTTGGGGAACAACTAAAAATGAATGGCCTTATAAATGTCTGAACTGCAGATTGCTGGTCTGTTCTATCATATATCTAAAAATCCTGGCTCTATACTATGCATCTTGTAATCTATGTACCAGATGCTCACAGGGGTTTAAAGACCAAGATGAGTTCAGAAAGTACTTAATTTCTTGATACAGTGCCTCTTCATTTTATTATCTAGTACACCAGCCTACTGCAGCAAGCAATCTGAGTTTTCCAAAACTGTCCCATTCCTACTACTATTCAGCATCACATTTTAGTATTGCTGTATGAAGCATATTACTTCTGGGTTATATTTTTTCTGACACTGCTATCATTTCTGCAGCACAAATTCACAGTGAGACAAACATTTCTATGTTTTTTTGAGAGTATCACATTAGACCACCATTACGTCATAGAACAGTTAGGGTTAGAAAGGACCTTAAGTTCCAATCCCCCTGCCATGGGGAGGGACACCATCATCCTCCAGGCACAAGAGGATCACCAGTGTGTTTTCAGATATGCCAGGCCACCTTTGTGACGGGAACATGACCACTGCAGCAGCTGGATTGGCAGCATGCTTCCAGGCTCATGAAAGCATCTCAAAGAGGTTGTCCATTTCCTTCTACAAGTTGGCAGCTACAGAACTACCCTGATCCCTAGGCTATAGCATGGCAGTCAGTGAGCCCAGGCTCAGCATCAGTTAGCCTGTTGACTCTCACATGACTGCTTTCTGGTGCAGCAGCAGCGACTTCCAGAGGCATGCATGTAGAAAATGTGTTGTATGTAAGTTTATGCCAAGTATCAGAATTTAACAGAAAAAGTGGGTGCTATTTAATCAAAACACTGTTTTAACATGCCAAAAAGTTTGTATCTCATAAGGCAGATTTAGTCCAAGTATAGCTTCTCTGATCAGACCTTTTAGTTATACCAGAGATGTATTTGGCCCAGTACTTAGAAACGAGACATTACCTGCAACAGACTGGTATTGTACACTAATTACAGTTCTCATCACTATAGGAATGTACTTTTGTCTATAGCTCTTCCATTCCATGAAAGAAAATGAAGCTCACTCAGTTAAACTAAGAACTGAAGATACAATAGAAATCTTGGATATATAAAATCCACTGGAATTGAGAATATAAACTGGTACAGAACGCAGTACATCTCCTTTAGAATAATTGATTTATACCAACTTACTTCACTGGAGAGTGCTGTCTACCTGTCTAGAATTCATCTTAACTTCCCGCTTAACACACAAATAAGTATCAGTTTATCAGATAAACAATGCCTTTAACTTTCTGTTACATCTTTTGTCTTTGCCGTACATTTCTACTATTTGTAAATTGCAGATTCAGAAGCCATATGGATTAAATTGTTTATACAGGCTCTCGTTTGGAAAATTTAACTTGAGGTTTCAAGCATCCTTGACATCTGCTTATGGAATGGTTCCTAATTCTGTGAATACCTTAGCCATATACTTAACAGCAAGCATAGGAATGGCTTTTGGGGATTAGAAATACTTTCTGACCTGGTACCCACAGAGAAACAGCACTGCACTTGGACTGGATGCTATGCCAGCTGGCAGAAAAACAGAAGGCAGGCCAGTCTTGGGGAGAATCCTTCACCTGCCTATTCTGTAAGGGTAGTATGGACTCAGCTCCTTTGAATCTCAAGTTCTTCATTCCAGAGTCTGAGCGCTCTCCACTTCTAGTAAATTAAGAGAGAGATGGTCAAATGGTTATCTTCTAAAAACAACTGGTACACTTGCTTTAATACAAAGTACTAAACATATTATATATGTGGAGTATATGTATATATAAACATAAACATATATTCCAAATGTATAATATGTGCAAAATAATACCACTGACTTTTTAGCACTTAGGTTTACTACTAAGCTTTTCTTCTTTTATAATTATGAACATAAGAGGATAATGTCTCTGACTTTAGCTTAGACCCCTCTACAATTCAAACATTTTATATAGAATGCTTGCTTCCAATCTTCAAAACACTTCATCACATCATCAAGCTTCTCTGTGCAGAGCTCAGACAGGTATCTTCACACTTCTATACATAACACTTGCGATTTAATATTTTTTTCATTTATTGACATACATTTAAGGACCAAAGCCATTTCTAATACAACCTATTGAAATTAAGTTCTGCAATCTGAAAACTTCTCTCTTACAATACCACCATTGCAAACAATTACAAATAGCCTTTCTTATCAGTTTTCCATGTCCAGGCCCACAGACTGCCCTACAGATTACTCAAGAACAGAAATTAATGGTAGTTGAAATCAGTACTCTCTGCCTTCTCACCTGTGCTAGATCACAAGAAGTCCTTTGAATATCTTGAATACTCTAACTTGAGTTCTTCCAGGCTCAGAGTATGCCAGCACTGAGAAGTCAGTGTTGGCACCCCAATACTACAGATTCAAGACATAATTTGAATCTCAGCAAGGCAAAAAACCCCAAACCAAAAACAGAAAGCCCACAACGCTAAGCCCAGTGAGGAAAAACCACTGCGCCAGGTCTTTGGCTTCAGTCTATGTTACAGAAACCCTGCCCAGTTTTGCTATTAAAATTTCACTTTCACATAGAAAAGTGTCCTCATCCGAATTAACTTCTAAAATTAAGACAAAAGTATGAGATTAAGTGGTAAGAGACCACTGTAATGATCTATCCTGACCTGCACGCACCATACAATTTTTCTAAATAATTCCAATTTAAACTAACAATCTTCAAGTCTAGATTTTTCATCTCCTGTGATGGAGATTTTATTATTTTCTTAATTACAAGGCACTTTTCATGTCAGTTATTTCTAGAGAATTTATAGCTTTTACTAATACAAGTAAATTTATCTGGATACAGTGTGTGAGCACCTGTGGCAGGCAGCATTCAGCAGAACAGATCACAGCCTGCACACATCCCCTCCTTCACCTGGTAAAAGTGTCTACACTACCAGAGCAGGCAAGTTCTCTTTCAGGGGAATTCTGACACGAAAAGGCAGAGAGCTTCTGAACTTCCCTGAAGTTAAAGGTGGCTTCAGTCACACTTTTGGAATTGTATCACAAGTACCAGAATAGACATTCGGGTCCAAAGCTTAAGGGACTAATCCAGTACCTGGGTCTGCTCCTCCATGGAAAAATGATATTTATTTAGAAAAGACACTGTTCTCTCCTAAGCAATTGAAACAACAACCAGTTGTACCTCTTAGACTCTTAATGGAACAAAATAGGCACATTCAGCCAGTTGGACCTACTCAATAAACAGGGTTTCCTACAAAGAAAAGAAAGCGAACTCAGCTGCAGGTTTCCAGCTAAGAACCTTTCCCATCATGTGAAATAACATTTTTTTCCCTTCATGAAACCTTATTGCAAGCTCATGACAGGACAGATGACTGCAGCCACCAGTTACTGTTAATTTAAGCATAATTGGATTTGCTATAGTTTCAGTAAACAAGTAATCAAGTGCTTAAAAATCTATTTTAATGATGTTTTCAAGAATAATAATACTCTTCGTTACAAAAGAAAGGTAAAAGGTACATCTTTTACATATAAGAAACTTACACCAAAGGCAAAGAATATCTTAAAACCAAAATAAAGCTATGTTGTTCGCTGCAGGAAAGCTTCAGGTATTTGCGATTAATCATTCGATTCACTTTTGGAAAAAGACGAAGATGGACTGTCAAAATAATTACTCTACCATGTCAGCTTTAAATATTTCACTGACTGTCAACAATTTAGCAATAAAATTACAAATATACAGAAAACAGATCTGCTACTGCACTACTACTGCATAGCTACACATACAACCAATAGCAAAAATTCATAATAACAAAATATGCAGAAATTAAGTGTTTTCCATTCATAAATGCAGAATTACTCCCACATTCCACTCTGTCCCAAAATGAACATTCAACACAGTGACCAAAAAGGAAGACAACTGTTATTGTATTTCATAGAATGTGCAGAAATCTACATTAATCACAAATTGGGACTAACCCTAATTCCACAAATTGTTTGCTGTATAATCATAACTCATACATGGAAACATGTAAAAATAATATTAACAATTAAGTACAAGTCGGAGTGAAAACAGTGATGCCAATGAGGGGGTCTCATTCCATGACTACTGCTTCTTGGGCAGAACAAGCCCTAGTTCAGCAGTCTTACCCCAGGGACATTACCAGTAACAGAAAGCACAATCTTAGTAAAATTCATATGAAAGGCCAAAAGTGATCACTAAAAATGTTTTACAAACAGTAGGACAAGGACATCGGAAAAACAGAATACTGTTGCATTCATTGCAATATCAGGCATTCAAGTACAGCATTACTAATACAAAATGCTACAAATGCTTAATGCATGCAGATAGTCACCAGACTACTTCATAATTTCTAAATCAAAATAATACATATGTAAGGATGAAGCATGGATTCTGTTTATATAAGCTTTGATAAGAAAGGGCACATTAAATCATGAGTGGCTCACTACCATGAAATTACATTTCTAAATAATTTAATCCCTCAAAAAGTATTTCTTGCTAAAAATCCTTCATTTCTCAGTGTAATAGTTTGTATACTTTGAAGATGTACATTTATACAATCTACAGTCTCAGCAGGAAATAAATTTCAGGTTTATCATCATTACTGTGTTCCAGCTGCAGAACAGAATCATGTGTATATAACTGGTCGCTACATCCATAGTGCAAAGCAGAACACGTACCCTCCGGCATTCCTCGGCCCTCCACATCCTCCCCATGGAAGCCATTCAGGTATCTGGCTATGTATGAGCCTGTTGAATGCCTGTTGATAACATGAGGACATGCTGAGGGCTTGTTCCGAAGGATAACCCCTGCTACACTACTTGTGTTAGAAGATTTTTGCTTGCTGGCAGCCTCCTGCCTCTCCTTGGCACGACTGGCTATATTCCGCACTCTGCTCTGGCTTCTGGAGGAGAGTTTTCTGACCAGTGCTTTTGGGCAGTCTTCATCAATCTGCCTGGAGTACAGCGTTTGACAGCTGTCCTCCTGGTCCAGGGACACCAGCTTCCTCAGCTGTTCTGTCAGAGCATCTGTTGAATGTGGTCTCATATTTTTCATAGAGGCAAGTTTCTTGTCCCTCATGCCTGATGAGATAAAGCTCCTACTTATGTATTGATACTTACTTTCAAAATTGCAGGAAATATCCTCTGATGTCAAGTCACCAAGACTCTTGGATTTGCAAGGGCTAGTCTGCTTGATAGCTGAATGAGGGGGGAAAGACAAAGCATTTTTGAGCAGCGGTGAGTGTATGTTGAGCTGGGATCTCTTGGAGGTACACATTACATTTTTTTGTTTATCTGAATGATGATGATACAAGAAACCAACATTTTCACACACTGGAAAAGGGAGATGACTCCCTGCAGTCCTGAAGTTTCCTGAGCAGTCCAGGGCAGCAGCACAGAGCTCAACAGTTGCACTGTTCTCAGAAGGCCTCTCTCCATCGTGCCCAGCATCCTGCTTTTGCCTCAGTTTCAAAGGGGAAGCCAACTGGCTCATATCTTCCCTTTTATACTCACATGCAGTTATCAACAGATCTTGAGAATCCCCATCTACTTCTATAAGACTGCTGCTTTCTGAATTCTCACCACTGAGAGGGTCAACAAGTGCCTCCTCAAAGATGAGGCTATTGGAAGCAAAAGAACTAGCGGTCTTGCAGGCTTCCCAACTTGTTCCAGATTTTGTTCCACATATTCCTTTGGAATTTGCATTTAGCAAAGAGAGAGGTGCTGGACAAGGAGAGCTAGGCATGTTATTTTCTATACTATTTATTTTCTTCTTGCAAAGTAATCCATTGTGGGTCTTACATTCAGAAACTGGTGTAAGAGTTGCTTCATGGGCAACTGTGTGCACAGAATACTCTGCAGTCTCAGGGCTGGAGAACAGGGTAGTATCTGGAGTGGAGAACAAAGGGGATTTGATGGCTTTTGTGACAGCAAAGTTGTGCATACAGGGACTGTTAGGATCCTCAGGAAGCACACATGTGTGTGTACCTGTCATACTGAAGGCCTGGCTGCTAGTGCCATGGAGGCTTGATACAGCAGTAAGACTAGTTTCATCATCTGTGACATCAAACTGCCCAATCAGAGCTGAGACAGCGCTATCCATCTCGCTCTCATTCACTAAAGAAACTTCATCTATAAGGCGAGAAAGGTCACTGTCTTGCATGGTTAGACTAGAGTGCAAATCAGGTGCATCAGGGCAAGTGGTAGAAGAAATACCTGTCAAAGAAAGAAGGGCTGCAGTGCTTTTCTTGATGATGTCATGTTTTTTACTTTCCATCTCTTCTTTTGGGGAAAGGGAAGTCCCTACATGAGTTATTTTCTCTTCCTTAGACCCTTTTGCATCATCTTCCTTTTTATTGTCTGCACAGTTTTTGTTATGCGTTTTTTCTGTGGCAAGTTCAAAATCAGAGTGCTGCATTAGAGGGACAGTTTCATCAGAAAGATTATTTTCCTGATAGTCTATAAGGTGATTTGCTTCAGCTACTCCACTTGCAAAAACTAAATTTTCAGGTTGCTCCTGTAGAGGTGATGCTAAAGAGTCAACTGTAGTCTCCTGGTCATTCTTAAACTGAGATGCCAAATTTGAAGTATTTGCTGGTTTCTCTGAACACGGAAAAACAGATTCTTTCAAGTTTGTTTCCTTCTCGTT